TCCTTACCAGAAACTTCAGGGACTCAAAGTAGCCTCTGAGGAACCTGTTGGATTAAACAAGCCCAAAACAGAGCCCTGGGTAATGTTATCCAAGTGAATGCTTGGCTAAAAGCTCTTGGGGACCATAAATGGCAATGTTTGAATTATGGGGAGAGTTGGAGAGAGGCTGTTGGATTGGCCTAATTCATCTGGATGAGAAAAAGAGGGCTGATGATAATCAGAGATGATGCTGCAAAGAGAACAGTTCACAAATATCTGGAACACAATGCTGGGGCTTGGTCAGATTTAAAGTAATGAGGCCAGTTCTGTGGGAAAATGTTGTTAATGCAATTGGAAAAAAAAAGAGAAGCCAAGGGCCCAGAAGCCTACCAGAAGATAGAAATTTAGAAAGCAGAATTTGCTGTGAGATAGGAAGAAGAACTAATACAGAAAATCATTGAGAAATTACAACCTGTGAGACTACCTTATTCCAGGAATTTTCTGTGCCAAGAGGAGGCACAGATCCCATGTGTAGGGAAAGGGGGTTAAACCAGATGGATTTTGGTGATAGGAGAACAGGAACAACTTTCCCAGTAAAAGGAGGAAGCTAGTGATTTTGTACTAAAGACAGAATGACTAGTAGCTTGCTGACCTTGTCTACTAGAAGTTTGGGAAGTCAGGAAACAAGCTGGGATGACATTCTGGGCACGTTTTTTTTCCTGTGGTGTATACAACTCTTGGCCTTGCACTCAAATCTGGCCTGACTTCCCTCCATGTCTCTGCAGCCTACTTGCCTGAGTCCAACCTTGCCGTGTGGTGAAGGGAAGGATGCATCTCCTGTGGCAGGCTGCATGTGCAGTGCTCTGCAAGTGGAGGTGGCGCACCTCCGAGGCCTGGTTTTACAGTGTCTGGAAGATCAGAAGAAGCTGCAGCAGGAAACCATTCGTCTGAATGCCCAACTTCAGCAGTTCTGTAGGGGGACGGAAGGAATGCAGCAGGTGAGCGTCCGTCACTTGGGTGCACATCCATGCTCAAGATTCACTGTGCTCCTGTGTAGATTGTGGAGGCTGTGCAGAGGGAAGCAGCTCTTAACAGCTGCCTCTCTTAGGGCAGAATGGGAGGCGGGGACTGAGCAGCTTGTATGAGCTGCTGATGCTGACTCTGGTAGTAGTAAAACAGGAATGAAGCCAAGAAGGAGTTTTCTGTGAGGACAGCTTTGAGGGACTTGGGATTCCTCTTTATTTCTCCTCATGAGAAGGGATGGGCCGTCAGAGAGTCCCAAATGGCTGTGGAGAATACAAACTGTGCCTTGTATAACTTCTAGCTTTTTAGCAGCTAGTCCTGGAACAGTTTGGGCAACTGCTGCGTGTTTTGGCAGGTGGAGGTTCATGCCAAAGGAACACAGACAGCCAAAGAGGAGGTGGAAGTGGATCCGAAACCTGACTTGGATTCAGATTCCTGGTGTCTCCTGGGAACGGACTCATGCCGCTCCAGCCTCTAGTCTCCTGAGCCCACTGGGATCCATCTAACTTCACAGCACACTAACCGAATGCAGAGAGCGGCTTTCCTGGCTTCAGGTCACTCGCAGACAAGGAGCGAGGCCGGAGGCTCCAGAGCAGCACCCATGTACGTTTGATATGAACTAGGAGTCAGTTTGAGAGGGGAAGGGCCCCTGAGCTCTAGGCCAGCTCAGTGATTGAAGCAGCAGCAGCTCCTCTTTGTATACCTAATCTGTCAATTCTACACGTGAGGCAGAATGGCCCCATTATGGCAATGGCTCCAGTAGCAGCTTGTGGCCCTTTCATTGTTTCACTGTTTTCTGGGAGCTGCCTTTGGGACCCCAGTATTCATCACTGCACCTCTAGATGAGAGGAGGAAACGTTTTGTACTGAAGCTGGCTGAACATTAAGACTCGCCACCTTCACTTCAGAGGGGTGAAGGGCTAGGATCCTCTCCCTACCACATGGTAAGGCCCTGCCGGTGAGGCTGCTTCCCTCTGCTCAGGGGCAGAGGGACCAGCGAATGTCTCATTCTGGAGGCAGTGGAGATGTTCCTCTTAGGGAGATAATGGTAGACAGCATGTCCCCTGGCCTCGAGGCACAGCTTCTGGCCATATGGCTGTGTCCACTGGTCTGTATAGACAGAGTTTAAAAGGCTTTGTTCTGGGTGCGGAGGGCTTTCCAACTTGCAGGCAATGCACCGAGACGAGTGAATCAGGTGCCGTTTCCCACAGCAGTAGCAGGGACTGTCTGAGGTGGGATCTCTAGTTCTTGGTTTCGGATCACCTGCTTCCCAACCAGATGCCAAGTGTCTGGCTCTCAGACTAAGTTACCCATTTTTTGCTCCAGCTGTTCAACTTGGTTTGGGTGCCAGAGTTTCTGGTTTCTTGGCACAAGCCTGTAGCTGCTCCCTGCTTGGCTTCTTTTCTGTTCAGCCCCTGTGCCTACGCTCTGTGTGGGTGTGGGAAGAATCCACGTTTTTCCACTGAAGTGTTTTGATGAAGCTGGAATGCCGTTTCCTACCCAGAATAGGTCATTAATGCAGTGGTTACAGTATGCAGCCTTCCCCCATGACCATGAATGATCAAATCTCTGTCTGGAATTCACCTTCCTTCAAAAAGTGAGAGGCTTTCACAAGAAAATTGGAGATGGGAAGAGTTATGGTCTGATGCTCAAGATTTCCTCATTTTCTGTTAGAGAATGAGGTTAACTTTATTCCCCTTAAATTTGTTAGCAAACTGACCTTCTAGCAAGCTTATGGGATTGGTAGGATCCCTGGGAGCAGCTAGCCTCCCCCGCCTTACGTGAAGCCTCCAAGGAGTCCTGAGTTCCTCTCACCTTTGCTGTGAGAGTGGGGTTGTGATTTCATCAGGCTTAAAACATCCTCATCAATGGCACGCTACTAGAATTGCCTTAGGTCTACTGGAGGTGGTTATCCTGTCACCTCTGCTAGACTTCTTTTGAGAGACTGTTCTGGGGAATTCAGCATTCCCCATTTGTCTCTAGAGGTGGATACCAAACCATTTGCTTGTAACTTAATACTCCTTAAATACTTCTTTGATGCGTATTGCTAGTGTCTTGGAGCTAGCTGAATCAAGTGCGTTCTCTCCAGTGCAGTGTCCAGGGCAAGGATCATACCAGTGTGCCTGTCCATTGCTACCGAAGGCGGGACAGGAGGAGAGCCCTCCTGGGAGGTGTGAGTGTCAGGCACCCTGGTGCGGCCACGGCGCTTGGCTGCCCTTGTGACTCTGCTCTCCTTTCCCCCACGTGCCTTGGAGCCAGTTCTCAGGTCAGGGTCCCGGCTTGAGGGTTGTTGGTCACATTGCAGCAGTGCCTTTGAGGAGTGAAAAGTTGAGCCTGAGCCATGTCCAATAAGCAAGCACCAAGCTGATGGGAGTCGCTCTCCTGCAGTGCACTGCTATCCTCATTTCTCAATGCTCTGCAGTTGGGAAGCTAGGTGCACAGACTGGATTCCCCTTGGATCTAGTGGAGGATTAGGGTTCCTGACAGAGGATGCCTTGTGCTCCGCAATCTCATATGTGCCTTAGAGGATTCACGCTATCCAGGTTGTGCCTGTTACAGACCACAGATTTCACACCAGCCAGCTACGCAACAAAAGAAGCAGTTTAAAGCCAGCACTTTCGTCTCGGGCTAAAAACGGAAAGGCAAGTGGGCAGAAGTGCCTTTGAGCAGTTTCAAACCCTTTTTGCTTCTCCCCTTCATGCAGTGCTAGCTCCATATGTGTTGGTCTCCTGCTAGTGTTGCTCCTGAGTTGTTATAGTGGAACACAACTTATGCGTGCTCTGACACTGGCTGAAAACTAGTTTGTCGTTGTCTTTTTTTGAAAGGTTAAAGGGTGGAGTGGTTTGGAGTTTCTGTTTAAATAAATGTTTAAACTCATACCCCTGTGTTTGGAATCTTTTTCTTGGGGTTTTTTGTTTTTTGGGTTTTTTTTCCAAAAGAGTAAAGGGAAATATGCATATAGTCAGCTGGCTTCATGGCATTCTGTTTTTTATTATTTTCTTTTGCTTATATAGAAAGAGGGCCAAGAGGCTTGCAGGTTCTTTGCTATGGGGAAAAAAAAAGTCCGTTTCTGTGTCCCTTCATTAAAAAAACCCAACAAACCAACTCTTTTCTCATACTGCTACATCTCTGCCTAGTGACGTCAGGAGCTTTTGTGTGTGTGTGTGTGTGTGTGTGTGTGTGTGTGTGTGTATGTGTTTATTTCCACAGTTTGAGTGCCAAGTAGGGAAATGAGTAACAGGAAGAGAGGCTCAAAGAGAAGTAGTACCTGTTTCTCTCAGAACAGCTTCTACTGAGCAGTAAGGCCTACAGAAGAGAGAACCTGCCTGACACACCTGCTCAGCCAACTGTTCCTGTTCCTGTTCCTGCACATTGTCACTTTTAACTTTTATCAGTTTTTATTAATTGTGAAATATCTTGAGAGGCAGAGCAGTGTTAAAGACTTAAAGTTCATCAGAGATTTGGATGCTGAAAATGCATCATGTCTTTGAGAGGGGGATTGTACTGCAGGAGCAGAAGAGGAAGCTAAACTGGCGTGAATAAGGTACCTTGAGTAGTGTCAGGGTAACTAATCCTGATAGCAAAGCAGCACAGCAAATCTCTGTGCCCAGCCTGATACTTTGGCTAAACTGTTACTAAGTTTTAAGCCAGTTATCAGAGACTTTCTGGATACTGAAACAATATCTCAGCAAATAGGGGTGAACTGCCCATGGTTAGCTCTGAAATGAAGCCTGGTAATTTAATTTGACTAATTTTTGTTTAATCTACAGTTTCAATCTCAGCATTAGCTCTTTGCCTGTCACTTATGAGAAGTCCCCAACAGATGGGTTTATTTTATGACATCAAATACTTTGTGTGTATCCACATGTCACCATTTGCACTCTGCTGACCTTTAGAGTCCACTAAATACAGTCAATAAAACATAGTGTAAGGTAAACAGTTAACATTACAAGACAGGAAGTGGTGCTGAATTTTTTAGCTACTGTGTTCAATTATACCTCTCATGAATTCATGGAGGCTCGCATAAAAGTTCCGGTTTACCCCTTTCCTACCTCTTGTCACCCCTTGCTGTCCTGTTTTTTGAATATCTGAAGTTATTGGCCTTGCTTTTCCGATCAGTGTTTGGATACAACAAATTATTTTCCCTTGTTTAGAGTCTGTTTTTCCTCTCAGGTTTGTACACACATCGCTGGCTGGCACAGTGCAGCACTGACCCTTTCCAGGACCTTCATGTTTCCTAGGGTGTGCCAAGGGATTGAGATTTCTGCCCACATATATATAAGGCAGAAGCCCTCCAACTTCTTTCAGGAGTCAGGTTCACCTATTGAAGACTGGAGTATTTCTGCATATTCAGCTTCTGACTATTCCAGCTTAATCTAATTGCTTTTGATCTTTTCATAGGTTCCTATGAGCTGCTGCTATGTTACCAGAGGACTCGAAAAAGGAGCTGCTGGAATTTTTTTGTTTGTTTGCTTCTTGTTGCAACTTTCTCATACAAAGTAGTCATTCTTACTTTGAGAACACAGACCACTATGTGACCATTTAAAACCACATTTACACAACAGAACTAGTTTAATATATTTAATAATCTGAATGTAGAAAAATAACATCTCAAGAAGAAAACAAAAGCAGGGTTATGTTTTTATCATAATTCCCTACCATTCCAGCAACCAAGGTGAAAATAAGCAGATGATTCAAGAAAGGGTGCAAGCTTTGTTTTTTTAGAGTTCCCTAGCAATTTGGCCTATTTTTTTATATTAAATCTAATTATTGATTGTGATGGTTGTTCTTGTTGCCTCAAGGGCCTGGCTGGTTCAGAGTATCTCTGTTGTTCTATGCACATGAATTGACATGGATTCAAACAGTAAGTGCCTGCTACTGCTAGCTTTTCTGAACCCCTGACTGTCTGATCCCAAGCTTCTTGTGCTGAGGAAAGGGGCATCCCACGTGGGGCAACCCAAGGGCACAGGTCAAAGTACACAAGTTCTAGTATTCTGCTTATACATCCTGAGCTGTTCACTAACTATACACACAAGCTTGCAGCCAGTCTTGAGACTAGGGAAAGCACAAGTGTCTATAGCTGGAAACCTGGCAAAAAAGAGGCAGGGAATCACAGCAGCAGGTACAGTTGGGCACTGCCTCAGCAGCGCCTTCTCTGTGGTGGGGGTGGGGGCCTATTCTTTATGGTTTTGCATTTGGGAATATGTCTCTCAGCTGCTCGGGGAGCAAACTGGCGTCCACAGTAGGTGCAGGCAACATAGTCTGGGTTTTCCATGGGAGGCAATGGAGGCAGATCAGACACCTTCCCTCCCTTAGTGAGGACTTGCTGCAGCTGGCGGGCCTGGCACACAGTCTGGATGAGAGCCTCATGCTTCTGTTTCCAGTTGTTCCTTCTTGGTAGTGTCTCACTCTGCAGAAGGGAAAGGCAGTCAGAGCAACTGGTACCACCATCAGCTTCCATTCTCAATCTTGCATTTAGAGCCCAACCCAGGTCACCTGTTCTGGGCATTCCTTGTTGATGTAAAACCTTCCCTGAGAAGCTGAGTCCCACAAAGGGAATCAACAAGACCAGCACCAAGGAGGATGTGAAGGAAATACTGATGGAAACAACAGGACTTTGAAAGAGCTTGAAAGTAACCAGAAAAGCAAGCAGTGGGGCCAAGGAACTGGAGAGGGTTGCTATAGCTGCTTTGCAGGAACAGAGCTGCATGTTTCCTCTGTCTTCATTTTAAGAGACTGTGTTATTTACCTGGATTTTCATTCAGCTCCCTGCAGGTCCTGATGTCACAGAGCTTTACTGCAGCAGAACCAGTCTGCATCCTAACTACAGCAAGGAGTGAGCTTTCTCCAGGAGTACACCCTTAACACATTATAAAGACAAGACAGGACTGCCGCCTCCACCTATTAGATTTTAAATGGATCTATTTTTCCATTTGTCATAAACCTTTTAGAGGCAATAGCTGCACTGTACCCCTTAGCCCTGCGTACACGTGAAGGTGCTCATGTCTCACTCAGAACTAGAAGCTGAGATGGACTCAATGTGAGCAATAGACGTGGACTAAGGGAGGCAAATGGACTGCACATTACCTGAGGACTCCTTGAGCTCTTCCACTGTTCGAGTTCTGTTCCCCTAGCTCTGGCCTTGCTGGAGTCAAACACTTTCCTCTTGGAGACTTGGTTCTTGCCACAGATACTCATGTGTTTCTCAAGCCTGGAGCAGAGAAACTTACGATTGCAGAAGCTGCACTGTCCAAGCCCCTCCTGCTCCACAGCACTGGCAGCCTGCATAAACAGCATCTCTGCAGACAAGTGGTCACCAGAATCTTGGTCTGAGAGGGCAGAGGGAGAAGGGCTATGTTTTAGGGCCAGCTTTGAACAAGAAGCTAAATGCTCCATGGGTATGCTGTCTCGCATTTTGCTGTTGTTGGCCACCAGCTGCTCCTTCCTGAGTTTCCCCACAGCCAGCTCTTGGGGGTGGTGAGTGGTGCCAGGCTTGGGGATAATGGCCTCTGCAGACTGTGCCCCACCAAAGACCCCACCACCTGGCCTGACTGCAACTCTGAAAGTTTTCTCTTCAGGGTCCTTTGCAGCCTTTTGCTCACGGGTCCTCTCAGCTCTACTGTCTCTTCTCTGCTCTGCCTTGATAAGCTCCTTCTCTCTTTGAATCCTCCTAAGTGTCTCCTTTGTTCTCCTCAGTTTCTCTTCGAGAAGGACCTCTTTCTTTTGAATCGCCTCTTCTAGGTTCCTTCCGTCTGCTTCCAACTTTAGGATGTAGGCCAGCTCTCTCCTGTATAGATGGGGGGTCGATGGTTCAGGCTCTACTGTCCAAGGACAGAGTGCTGCAGATCTCCCTACTGGAGCCTTCCCTTTGCTCATTGAGCTTGATTTACTATTTGGAGTTTCCTGCATGTATGGGGAACTTCCGAGCTGTGCTGTGTTGACCACTGGAACACTCACACTGTTGTGGTGAGAAATTGGTTTCAGGGGATATGCACGGTCCACTCCTTCTTTCTGTCTGTCTGCCGATGTAGCTGACAGAGTACAGGCCTGGCTGGTGAGGTGCTTACTCTGTAGTCCAGCTGAACAGAAGCCTCCGTGCCCGTATTGAGTGTTTTCTGCCGAAATAGAATAAGAACATCTTTGGCTCTTTTGGGCACAGGGATCCTTCAAACTTTCCTCTTTGTCAGTTATGAGTTCATGCTGAAAGTTGTTTTTCTGGTGTTTTAGCTGGGAACCAGGAACAATCTTAGTAGCTGCCACCACAGGAGCCACCGGTGGAAAAAAAGCCATTCAGTGCCTGAGAAAGAGCCTGAGGTTAGAAGCAAAGCCATTACAGACTATCTTATCCAAAATTGGACAAATTTGCTCCTAATAGTCTATGCCTGGAGGCTACAGTGAGAGGTTATAATAAGTATTAGCAAAGGTTTTGTAACTTTTCTGTGTTCTATAAGTCTTTACATTCCTTCCATCTAGGGAGCTCCCATGCTGCCTTTCCCAGTCCAAGTCATTCATGGAGCCAGAAATAAGAAACATTTTTATTTCTCTTTCTGCCTGAGCCCTGCCTTATCGTGGTAGCAACAGAAATATGCCGCACTGATAGAGGAATTGTTACACTTCCCAGGATAATGTGTCCCTTCAGTTTTGGCATTGCGATCCACCTGTGTGCCACACGGGTCTGACACGCAGGCGTCCGGCCAAGCTCGGCACAATCTTCCCGTGGCTCGTCCTACATCCCCCGAGGTGTGCCGGGCGCGCACGCCGAGGGGCGAGCGGAGTTACCTGCGGGGCCGCGCCTGGCGCTCCGCCCGGCCTCCCTCCTCGGCGAACTGCGTCGGCCCGAAAGCCCCGGCCCCTCCTGCCGCCGCCGCTGCTGCCCGCGGCCCCCGGGGCCCCGGTACGAAGCCGTGCCCGGCGCGGAGCCGTGCCAGGCGCACTGTTGCCTGGAGACTGGCGCGAGACCCAGGATCGCTCCCTCGCCGCTCGAACGCTCCACTGTGGAAGGGGGCGGTGCCTGCGGTCGCCCCAAATGCATTATTCATGAGGGGGTGCCTCATGAATTATTCATAGAGCGGCCAATGAGCGATCGGTCCGAGCCCGCTCTTCATTGGCTGCAGGGCCCAGTGAGGCCTCGCCCCCAGCGGCGCGGCGCAGGCGCAGCGGGACGCGGCGGCGGCAGGCGGAGACGGTGGAGGACGTTCCGCCATGGCGGAGGGCGAGGCATTGGTGTCCGTGGACTACGAGGTGTTCGGCAAGGTGCAGGGCGTGTTCTTTCGCAAGTACACACAGGTGCGTGCCGCGGGCCCGCGGCGCGGTCAGCCCTGCCTGCCAGCCTGCGCCGTGCCCGTCGTGCGGGCGCCTCTGAGGGGCTAAGCCGCGGGCGGGCGGGTCGTGGCCGCGCCCCCGGGCCGGGGTCCGGCCGCTGCCGCAGCGGGGCCGGCACCGCGGTGCTGCTGGCAGCCCGGCCAGGTTATGTAAGCATGGCTGAAGAGTGCATCTCAGCCCCAGTTTTTTGCGTGAAAGAATATAATAAGTAGTTGGGCGAATCCTCTGCTCCTTTCCTGCTGCCTGAGCCACAGAAACTTCCTTGGAGGCCTGCGTGTCACCAACAAAATTGGCTCCTGTATGTGAATGTCGTTTTGTTGCTCTATTACAGTTTGGATAACCTCATTTTGCTCTGCATTGTCTTCTCAGGGGGAGGCCAAGAGACTAGGACTCGTTGGCTGGGTCCAAAATACCAGCCGTGGCACTGTGCAAGGGCAAATCCAGGGCCCAACTGCCAGGGTGCGGGAGCTGCAGGAATGGCTCAGGAAGATAGGAAGTCCCCAGTCCCGTATCAGCCAAGCAGAGTTCAGCAATGAGAAGAAGATTGAGGCTCTGGAGCACAAGGATTTCCAGATTTTGAAGTGACTTTGTTCAGAAAGAAGCAAAATCTGGAGCGGGAGCTACCCTCACGGAACATTTCCTCTCTTTCCTGCTCGTTCAGTCAGCCAATATTCAGCTCTAGAGAGTTTTATTTTACTACATTTCTAATTTATTGTTTTGCTGCACTCTTAGTCTGACGCTCAGCCTGTCACAGAATTCTAATGGGTAGAAGAAGAGCTGTGCTGTCTTTGTTAAAGGGGCTGTTCAGGGGCAGAGCCTCTGTTTCTAAGTGCATGCGGTGTTTGGGGTCATACGTGAGTGGAATCTGTAATGTGTAGAGTGTGGTGCTGATGTGAAGAAAGTCACAGGATCAACGTTGACACAGAAAATTGCTAAAAACATCATGTCTGTGCACTAAATGCCTGAGAAACAACTTACTTTGTTCCAGAACTTCACATTTGCTGTAGAATAAAGTTGCTTGCAGCTCACCTCCTGTGTGGAATGGGTGTGTCGCTTAGGGGGCTGAGTGGATGGCAGCCCTCGGAGCAGGATCTCGTTGCAGATACCCGCCCTGGTGGGAGAGCGGGGTTGTCCCGAGCAGCCTTCCGGTGCCGCTCTGCGGGAATGGCCCGGGGGAGGGCGTGTTTCCCGCAGCCGTGCAGAGCTCCCGGCCGGTGTGGGAACTACAACTCCCGGCGTGCCCGTCTCGACCTCCCGTTCGCGCGCAGGTGCGCACGCGCCGTCGGCCTGTGGGAGGAGCTGCACGCGGGTCCGGCGGCCCGGCACGGTTGGTCTCGCGCGGCGGCGGTTGCGGGATCGCCCCGGTTCGGCGGGTGCTGAGGGAGCGGGGCCGGGACGGGGAGCGGGAGCAGAGGGGGCTCCGGACGTGAGGGGAGGGCGCGAACGAACCCGGGCAGCGCACCCTCCTCAGCCCCCGGGGCCAGGGAGCCTCTGGAGTCCTGTCACAGCGGCGACACTAGATCTCCAGAAAGGGCGAAGGCCACCAGTAAACCAGTAGGCGTCAAGGACTGGGAAATAGTGGGTTCCCTTTTGCATTAACAGCTTGCTCACTGCCTGACACCCGTTCCCGAGCCTGCTTTACTCCTTTCCTCGACAAGTAGCAGCAGATGCTATTTGATCAGAATGAGGCACTGTGAATTTATGTGGGGACATTGGGGTAAAAACTAAAGGAAAGCAGCTCTCTGCCCAGTTCTTGGTGATATTTATGCGATAATTCTGATGAAAATTACAGTAGAAGACTTTTGCTTGCAGGTCCTTTGAGTTTTTCCTCGTACGGTAGGAGTTTGGTTCTCAACGTTAAGTTTGAGAACCAGGTATGTTATTAGTGATGAGCTTAGATTCTGGCTCTGGCCATCTGCCCTGAGGGCACTGACAGAGCCTGAGCAGGAAAGTAATCACAGAAGAAGCCTCTGAATGTCAGGAAAACTAAGAAAAATGTATTTATGAGAGTGAATGCCAAAAATGAAAGGTTTTTTCAGGCCTTCAGTTTGTATTTCTTTAATTTTGTTTTTTTCTCCCTTTTCTCTCCACCCAAGGTGTTCTTTTAAGGAACATGGAGCAGTGAGCTCCCCGCAATTTCTTGTGTTTCTCATCTATCAGATTTTGACATGATCAAACCTTTGGTGGAAGATGTGCGAGCCAGGCTGCGTTCTGGAGTGACTGTCAGCTCCCTTGGCCAGTGTGTTGAGGAGCTTGTCCTCAATAGCATTGATGCCAAAGCAACATGTGTAGCTATCAGGGTGGATTTGGAAGCTTTTAAGATCCAGGTGGTGGACAATGGCTCCGGGATGGGGAAAGAGGACTTAAAGGCTATTGGAAAGAGGTACTTCACCAGCAAGTGCAGCTCAGTGGGAGACTTGGAGAAACTGACATTCTATGGCTTCAGAGGGGAGGCTGTGGCAAGTATAGCCAACGTGGCCAGTGTAGTGGAAATTTCATCTAAGACCAGCAGGACAGCCAAAACCTTTGTGAAACTATTTCACAATGGGCAAGCACTGGAAGTATTTGAAGCTGAATTGAACAGACCAAGTGGTGGAACTACAGTCACTGTGTGTAATCTGTTCCATCAGTTACCAGTGAGGAGAAAGTGTATGGATCCTGTGTTGGAATTTGAAAGAGTGAGACAGAAGATAGAGGCTGTTTCGCTAATGCATCCTTCTGTTTCCCTTTCTTTAAGGAATGATATTTCTTGTTCTATGGTGCTTCAGCTCCCTAAGACAAGAGATGTGTACTCTCGGTTTTGTCAAATTTATGGACTGGGCAGATCCCAGAAGTTGCGACAAATAAATCACAAGTCTGGGGGATTCGAGATAAGTGGTTTTATCAGTACTGAGGGACATTACAATAAGAATATGCAGTTCTTGTATGTGAATAGAAGGCTTGTTTTAAAGACAAGAATACATAAACTAATTGATTTTTTGTTAAGAAAAGAAAGTGTAATTTGCAAAGCAAAAGGTGTCCCTGCAAGCCGACAGGCTGGTTCAAGTCCTGGCCGCCATCGCTGTGGGCCAGAGTTGTATGGGATCTTTATTCTCAATGTGACCTGTGCATACAGTGACTACGATGTGTGCCTGGAACCTGCAAAGACTCTAATTGAGTTCCAGAACTGGGATGTTCTTCTAACTTGCATAGAGGAAGGAGTGAAAATATTTTTGAAACGAGAACATTTATTTATTGAACCATGTAGTGAGGACATCAGAGAATTTAATGAAGATAATGACTTTTGTTTGCACAAGGCTTCAGTTCTAAAGGCCCCAATCCTTGACAAGAAGAGCATCCAAGAAAGTTTCAAGAAAGCATGTGATGAAATTGTGGATTCCTATGAAATGTGTACCTTGCAATCGAAAGATGTCAAAAGGAAGGCCATTACTGGAAAAAAATATTCCAGTCTTACAGAGGCAAGTAAAAATGTACAGGAAGATGAAATCACCCCAAATCAGAAGACTGCCGAGTTATCTAACCCATTTAGAAACAATAAAGCAGAGATTCCATTGCCTGATGAAGATGACACAGCTTCTGATTTAATTAAATCAAATACCTCAGAACAGGAGCCAAAATACACTAACAGTTCCCAAAAAGCATCTGTTACTCATCTGAAACCTTCAGAAAGTCTTCATTCCTCTTTCGGTGGAGGGCCCAGATCAGAAATAAGAGAAACAGACAATTATGGTGACCTGCAGGATTGTGCTCAGAATAGCATAAAAGATGTGGGCAGCCACCAAGGCAAAGTAACACAGAAAAGCAATAAGGTCTGTGTTTTAAATAAGAATGTTATTCAGTCACTGCCCAAGAGAGAAGACCCTACTGAAACAGCAGTGGGACCTGAAACTGTCTCTGGAAATTCAATGATGAGACACTGTAATGCAAGAAGAGGCAGGGAAACAGCTGAAGTGATAGATGATGCCAGAAGAGGGGCTGTTAGTTCAATACCATCAAAGCTGTCCTCTACAGGCCTCATAAGATGTGTTATGCAAAGTGAGCCCCCACATGATTCTGAACAAACAGAAGCAAGTCTTGCATTAAACACACAGTGTAGGGCTGGCTCTGTCAGTGCCAAGGATATTTTTGGCCACAAATTGAATGTTGCTATTCAGTCTTTAAATGATAGGGGTATTTCCAGTAATACAAATAAAGAATATACAGCTTCTTATACCAGAGAAGCACGCATGACTGATGGTAATAAGAACAAAACTTCGTCTCATCAGGTGAGGGGGGAAATAGCCATGCCTACTGCCACTAGTAAAAGAGGTTATGAGACATTGAATGATACAGAATTGCCACTGCCAACTTCCTCAGCTATTCCTCACAAGAAAATTATTATAAAAAGCACTAGAAGGCAAATAACTGTGCCAAGGCCTCAGTCCTCTAAGAAACTGAGCATGTCCACGCAGCTGGGTTCGTTAGAAAAGTTCAGAAGATATTATGGGAGAGTCAAGTCTATGCTACCAGCACCCATGTCACAGCAAAGTGAAGTAGATCTCACGGTTCTTAATTCACAAACTAATTGTGACTTTTCAAAGAATGACAGTGTCAATCGCAGTAACT